AATTACAGGCATGCGCTACCACGCCCGGCTCATTTTGATTTATTGTAGAGATGAGGTCTCCCAAGTTGCCCAGGTGGGTCTTGAACCTGCGGGCTCAGACAATCCACTCACCTCAGCCTCCTGAGGCGCGGGATTACAGGCTGAGCCACCCAGCCCGGCTGGTTTTCTTTTTTCTCATGATGGCTCTGAGACCTGGCGTGTTACTATGCATAAAATGGTTCCCTGCACCCAGCTCTCTTATCTCTGGGAAGTTGTAGGGATGTGATATTGTGAAATACATATTTGGTCTTTGACCCATTTCCCAGCATATGCTTTCTAAAATCCTTAGAACCTCCAAAGTGTTGTCTTTTCATTTGCTGATGATTGACTGTTGGCTCAAGGTAGCTCCCGGACCAGGAGCTGGTCGCTGGAAAGCCAGGGTAGGACTAGAGGGTTGGGACTTTGAGCACCCCCCTTCGAGGAGGGGCTGAGGTGATCACCTATGGCCAATGGCTTAATTAGTTGTGTCTAGATAATGAAGTTCCATAAAAACTCAAAGGGCGGGGTTGGGAGAGCTTCTGCAGAGCTGATGTTGTGGAAGTTCCTGGAGGGAACTTGTGCCTTGAGAGGGCATGGAAGTTCCAAGTCCCTCCTGCACCTTCCTCTACATGTCTCTTCGCCTGTGTTCTTCCTAAGAAACTAGTAAACCTAAGTCTTTCCTTGAGTTCTGTGAGCTGCTCTAGCAAATTAACTGAACTCAGAGAGGGGTCCTAGGAACCCCATCCTTTTGCTTTTTTTTTTTTTGAGTTGGAGTCTCACACTGTCACCCAGACTGGAGTGCAGTGGCCACTCCTGGCCACCGCGGCCTCGACCTGCTGGGCTCCTGCGATCCTGCCGCCTCAGCCTTCCAAGTAACCGGAACTACAGGCATGCACTACCACGCCCGGCTGATTTTTTGATTTATTGTAGAGATGAGGTCTCGCTGCCCAGGCGGGTCTCGAACCCGCGGGCTCAGGCAATCCACTCACCTTAGCCTCCCAAACATCCTTTTGCGTTTTAGAGATGGGATCTAGCTCTGTCACCCAGGTTGGAGTGCAAAGGTGTGATCATAGCTCACTGCAGCACCCAACTCCCAGACTCAAGCAATCCTCTCACTTGTCTCCCAAGTGGCTGGGACTACGGGCACATATTGCCATGTCCAGATAATTAAAAAATTGTTTTGTAGGCTGGGTACAGTGGCTCGTGCCTGTAATCCCAGCACATTGGGAAGCCGAAGAGGGAGGACTGCTTGAGCCCAGGGGTTCAAGACCAGCCTGGGCAAAACAGACAGATCTCACCTCTACAAAAAAACTTAAAAAGTTAGGCGGGCGTGGTGGCATGTGCCTGTAGTCCCAGCTACTTAGAAGGCTGAGGCTTAAGGACTGCCTGAGCCCGGGAGGTCAATGCTGTAGTCAGCCATGATGTTACCACTGCTCTCCAGCCTGAGTGACACAGTGAGACTCCAATCCAAAAAATAAATAAATAATAAAATACATATACATATTTCCTATAGAGACATCGTCCCACTATGGTGGGATGGTCTTGAATTCCTGGCCCCAAGCAATCCTCCCACCTCAGCCTCCCAAAGTGCTGGGGTTTAGGCATGAGCCACCATGCCCCATCTTGAAGCTGGTCAGTCAGAAGTTTCAGAGGCTTGAACTTGCGGCTGGCATCTGAATGGGGGGGCCGTCTTAGGAACTGAGCCCTCATCCTGTGGGATCTGACACTACCTCCAGGTAGATGGTGCCAGAATGAATTCTGGAGGATAGCCAGCAGCGGCAGAATCGCTTCCTTGGTGTGTTGGGCAAGAGTCCCACACGTTTGGTTACAGAACCTTCTGTGTTGTTGTTTAGTGAGAGAATAGAAAAAGCACTGTGTGCGTGTTTTTTTTTCCCCTCCAAGGGACATCAGCAGAAACACCATTGTCTGCACTCCCAGGCCTGAAAGCACCTTTTGCAGAGAGAAGAGGTCAAGGTCACTGGGTTTTATTTGAGTCCAGAGGGAGGGCTTTGGTGCCCACCCAGGCCCCAGTGCCATGAAGCTGGGGAGGGTGGGGAGGCCAAGGGGCAGCCCAGAGCAAGGCCTCCAGGCCCTGCTAGCAGGCATAGATGGGAATGGGAAGATCCAGAGACACCCCGGCAGCTTTCAGAGGAAGGCGGAGTCCTGGGCTAGAGTTCTTCCTGGGTGACTGGCAACGCATCTGAGCAGACCCCCTGGATGCCCGCACACAGCAATGCTTCCAGAGCGCCTTGGCCTTGTCGGTGGGTTTCATAGATCTGGTCTTCTCCAAACTCCCCCAGGTAGTGCAAACATGTCCTGGAGAGCCTGGGGGAGCCCAGCAGGAGCCTCAGACTCTGCCCAGACCACAAAGGGGCAGACCATGAGCTCCAAGGGCTCCAAGAGCTCTATCCCGCACCCCTTCCCTCATCACCTGAGGGGCCAGGGGCCCCCTGTGACCATCACGCTGATGCTTGGCTCCTGCCCCTGGCTGAGCCCTGGACCCGTGAGACGTTTCACCTGGTTCACTTCTTGGACCCCGTAGCTTGTGGAAGCGGGAGGAGAGGGGCATAGCTTTGGTCTTTGATCCTCACACCAAGCTGGGCACACTGGGCATTTGCTGAGTTCAGAAAGGGAAATCCCTGCCCCAGGTCACGTGGTGACCGTGCCTGTGGCCAGCTGCTCTCCCACTTGCTTCCAGCTCCAGGACCCAGCCTTCATCCCAGTCGGCCACCTCCTGGGACCAGAACCCTCGAGGAGTGTGCAAGGTGCAAGTGGGGCTCTCTCCCACTGTCCCTGTCCCTGGGGGAGGGAGGTGGGGGCATGGGCAACTCACTCCTGCCAGTTCTGGGAGCAGCTGCGGTCCAGGACGTCTGTGTAGATGGATTCCCTCAGCTCCCGCCGCCCCCTGGAGTCTGGGGTCTGCAGTTGGGCCTCTGCCTTTGCCAGATGTTTCCACATCTGGAACAAGGAGGGGCTGGAGCCAGGGCTCTGGGACTGCTGTTCAGCTGGGGGTGGGGCAAGGGGAACTGGGCTCGGCCTCTGGGGAGGATGAGGTGGCAGGAGAGCCGTTGGAGCAGGAAGCACTGCCAGGTGGGCTGCGCGCATGCTGGGAAGGGGTGAGATCCGCTTCCCTGGGGCCTTCCTCCAGGGCACACCTGCTCTGTGGCACATGCCATTTTAAACCACGAGAACAAGGAAAGTAGACACAATTCAGAGCCCAGCCTTCAATAGCAGCCATACTCTCAGGCCCTGCAGGCAGAGACACTGGCACACAGACATGCTCAGCCGGTGCACGTGTGAACTTAGACCCATGCACACTCACATGTGAGTGCACGCAACACCAGGGTGCACGTGGGCCACGAGCACGTGTGCGAAGCCTCCCCGGTTAGGTTTGGGGGGTGGGCCAGACCCAAGGTTGGATCTGGAAAGGGAGAAGCCTGAGAGGACCCCAGGTGATTCCCTGGGGTCTCAAGGTTCTGTGGGGGTGTCCAGATCTCTCTCTGTTGGGCAAGGAGATAGGTAAACTGAGGCATAGAGGTTCAGGTGAGATAGGGAGGGCGATATCATGGAAGCCTTGCTGCCTGTTGGTGGGGGTTTGGGACCCATAGGCCGGTGGTGGAGCTGAGGTAGCTGGAGGGGTCGGGCTTGAGAAAGATCTGGGGGCAGGGGGACTGTCGGGAGAAGAACTCACCTGGTAGGCCACAGCCCTGCAGGCGTCACAGCGCAGGTGAGCAGGCATGTGAGCTGAGTACTTCTCCTCATCGTCCAGCTGTGGGGCAGAGGCCGTGAGTGGGGCCCTGTCCCCGAGGCCTCCTGCGATGGCCCAGGCTCCCAACAGCAGCAGCGGCGGCAGGAGTGACAGCCTCATGGCCTCTGGAGCCAGCTCAGTGAGCAGAGGCCGTGGCGGGTGCAGATGTGCACGAGCCCGTGCGCAGCACAGTGGGGACCAAGGAGCATCTCGCCTGGACCAATGGGGAACCGACACTTCACCCTGCCTGTTCTCTCCCCGCCCCCAGGGCCCTGGGGATGCCACGTGTGCACTTCCTCTAGCAGGACCCTGGCTCTACCCACTCAATGCTCCATTTCACAGACGGAACGACGAGGCAAGGGGGGGGCTGTGCCTGGGCAGGGACGCAGGGGGCTGAGGCCTCCCACATTCTGTGATCGGGCCAGGTGGCTGGCACTGTGCTGGGACCCTCGTGGGGAGAAGTGGTGGGTTGCAATCATCTTTATTCTGTCCTTTGGGCAGGAAGACTCAGAGAGGAGACAAATCCAAGGCCACACAGCCAGAGGGCCATGCTGAGATTGGAACCTAAACCTGACTGTCCCCAAAGTCCCCTGGCCACTCCACCATCTGGAGGAAGGAGGACTCAGGTATGGCCGTCAGCCTAGGGCTCCCTCCCGGGAGGCAAGTCGCAGGGGCAGGGACACTACGGGGTGTAAAACACACACCTCCTTCCCTGGCCCTGGGTTCCCCTGACTCTGACCACACTGAGGTATGGAAGGGCACTATGGAGTGAGTTAAGCGACTGTGGCAGGAAATCAGGCGCCTTACACCAGTTGTTTCAGCCATCGCGGCTCCACGGGTTAGCGATTTATTGCACACCAGGAGGAGGGAAGGCGCCTGGGGTCGTCCCAGGGCCCTCGATGACATCAGAACGAGTGTCTCCAGCCAAGAGATGTCCAGGTTATTCCGAGCCACGGTTCTCCTAGTCAGATTCCAGTCCAGGGCAGGGGACAGCGACTCCGAGAGACCTGGGTCCCCAGGCCTAGATCAACCAGGGCATTGGTCCCCATCCCTGCCACTGCTTCCGAGGGAAGCTGTCCTTCCCAAACTCATCACACCACACACCGGCCCAGCAAGGCCCACGCACGGACCTCCACGCAAGCCACCTCCCACTTCATGCAGATCCCCACATCCACCTCAGCGGCTCCTGGAGTCTCAGGGCGACTGACGCAGGGGCTCCGGCCCCGTCCCCTCCTGTGCTGAGACTAGTCTGCAGGGCCAGGCCCTCTTGGGCTCTGCTGCCACAGCTGTCACTGGGGGAGTGGAGCCCGCTGAGAACTCCAGGTCCCTCTGGCCTACGCCAAGGATGCCCCTACTCCTGGCAGTCCTGTCCCACCTTCCGGCCACCCAGAGGGGTCAGACTCCTCTGGGACAACAGCCCAAGCTACTCCCCTCCCGTAAGTCCCCCTGATGGCTCATTTCTCCTCCCTGGGTGGGAATGCCAAAGCCCCACCCCGGCCCTAGGATGAGCCAGCTCAGCACCCAGGGCTCAGAGGAGCCCAGGCAGAGACTGGGGTCAGGGAGCCAGGCTCCCAGCTGGAGACCACAGCCACCCCCGCCCACCTTACCGTCTTCCCACACCCCAAACCCCAGGCTGACAACCCTTCACAGCCCCTCCCTGGTGCATCCCTGCTTCACCTCCACTTGCGGTGCCCCTCTCCCTCAGCCCGCCTGGGCTGCACTACCAGGCCCAACCCTCAATCTTCTTCCACAGAGCAGATCTGCCGGCCAGAGTCCTTCCCCACCATCCTGCCGGTGCCCGTGGGCCGCCCCACCTCAGCTGGGCCCGTCTTCCGGGAGGGCAGACAGTTCAGTGCCTCTGGGGACAGCCCTGTCTCCTGCTGCTCCCACATCTGCTGCCCCTGGGGAACCCCAGCACCTCTGGAGGGCTACGGGACGCCTCACTCTTACAGATTCGCTCGCCTGCACCTACACGCACACACCACACCTCGGAGAGCTTGGGAAAAGGATACACAGTTTTGGGGGAGGAGGAAGCGGGCAGCGACTTCCCGCCCCAGCGCCAGCTCCACCAGCGCCGGGGCTCGGACGCGTTCTCTGAAGGTCACTTCTGGTCCGACAACTGGCTGAGACGGGCCGAAGCGGTGGTGGCAAGAAAGGGCAGGGGCCTGCATCCCGGGCCGCCGGGGCCAGCCACGGCCCCAACTCCGTGGGGACCAGGCCCTCGCCT